GGATGGTTCTGAAATACACCTTATATCCAAATATTACACACAGTGTTGGGATTGCAATGTGTAAAAGTTTAATTTCCATATTTATTTGTAATTTTTATTGTAAGGGTGTGTTAGAGGAGGGTAGAAGTGACAGCTATAGATCCAGTTAGTCACTGGAGTTCCCTGCATGTACACATGTTGGGATGACCTTAAGGCAAGTGGCAGAGATGATCAGACTTTAAAAGGTTGGCATTTGCAAAAAAAAGTTAGCCTTGGCAAAGAGAAAAAATTGCATTAGTCAAAGGGGCTTACAAAAAATTACCTTCGGAGATATTCAGAACCAGTCCAAGAGCACCGATAAACTGATCATCCCCTGAGGCCTACGAAAGTTTGGAGAGTTTGAACTAAATGGAAGTGTGCCAATGTTTGCCACAGGAGATGTAGAAAAGATAGGAAGCCACAAAACATTTCCTTTATTTTGTGGATCCATTAATAATTCCTATTACAAGCCCCGTACAGCAAAGGCAGTGAAGGCAGAAAAACATACCTCCAAAGTTCCCATATTTGGCTTTATAGTGTCATATTCAATGTTACAGTGTATTCCAGACTTTTTCTGAGCTAATAAGGGTGATTAGAATATTGAATTTTTTTTATGAAGTAACTTCTCATTCAACTTGGCAGACATTAAAAAAATCAGCAGGTTATAGATAGTTACACTATAAGGTATGTTTAGGTGAATGCATCTAAGTTTACTTATTGTTTGGTAATGATGAGAGCCCGCACCACATGTGAGATGTCTGCTGTTTATTGGAATGGAACACAGTGTACTTTTTGACTCCCTGAATGGTTTATAGATCCACGCAGACCTGTGTTTTCACAGATAACTGATTAAGGTATACATTTCAAAGGTGTTTTGGTGACTGGTTGGGCATGCATTGCTGTGATTCCAGGTAATTGCCTTTCAAGCCCAATTCACTGTAAAATGAACGTCAAAGTAAATGTAGGATAGGTAGCTCTTAGTAAAGATGTGTGGTAGAAGAGGAATGCACATTTTTAAATGGCCAGTAGCGCCTGTTGTTTATGTTAGCCCTACATGAACATTACTGCAAGAATCATGCATTGCAAGCCCCACTCTGATGTGGGTTTTAAACCTAACTGTGGTTACAGGCCTTGATGCTGATGTGATTAAAAATTTCAAATGAAGATGGATGATCAATCAGAATTTGAACATAATGACTTATAGACAAATAATGAGACTTTTCTTCGCCCTGGATTAAAAATAACACAGAATTGTAATTTCCGCCTAATGCCATAGATATGACAAGCACATGACATTTAGCAATATATTGTAGGAAAAGCGGTTTCCACTCATAGTCTAAAAAAAAAAACACATTACACTATTGATACGCTTAGAATCATCTTAACCTTGACACCTGCTACGTGCATGTTTGTACAGCAACATAACACCCTGTAAGTTAGAATTGCTCAGTTTTATCACATTTTTCCTCCTCTGCTTTCCAGGGAGCCAGACAAGACCCTTGTAGTCCATATCTGCCAGGCAGACCTGGGTGGCATGCTTCCCACACAGCTGGTGGAGACTGCACTGCCAGGCAACATGATTGAGTTCTTCTCTAATCTCAGACAGGCCATTGCCAATGCCTCTTAATCAAATGGAGCGGAGTCTGTTTTTTTCTTTTCTTTTCTTTCTTTTATAATCCATGTGATGATTTTGTTCTATTTCTTTTTACGAAATACTGACTGGATCGGTAGGCTTAAAAAATGAAGCCTAAATATGTGTTTATCTTTCATCATCCAGGGAGTTTGTTTTATAAATGTGAAATTGATTTTACATTGGTAGTAGTTAATTGGGCAAAGAATAGTTTGAAATTGAGTGGTAGGTGCATGCTAGGCCAACACTTATGTAAGTTGTTATAATGAGTCATCCAAGCAGATAAAGTTGGGTCAATAGACAGTAGGAGACTTGATTTGCTGCTTTCTACCACAGATTGTGTATGTATCTTTGTTACTGCACATGGTGTCTCATTCAGATCTATGACGCATGTTAAATCACAGACAGTTCAATGTTTGTAGCCTTTGAATTATTTATACAATCTTGTAGTATTTTTTTCTTGTTGCAGCTGTATATTCCCCCCTGATATTTTCATTTCATGTGTTTTTATCTCATGACTAACAAAAGAAAAAGTAGAGATGGAATTGAAAATAAAATTAAATAGAGCGATCTCTGCAGAGGAAAACACTGAGGTTCCTGTGTAAGATTCTAGACAGCTACATCCTGTGGAAGAAATGTTGTAAAGGATATAGAGTTAGTGGGAAGTCCAGATATATCTGTACACAGCCAGTGTATGGTGTTGTGTTGTGAATACGTCCCTCTAGCATAGAGGATAGTATGACAGTTGGTAGATATTTGTTGAAGGATTTCGGGACTTAAAGTTCTGTAAGTTCAAAGTGAAGTTTCAAAAATTAATGAAAAAAAAAGACAGTGGATTTATACTTTTAAATGTGCATGGCACTTATAGATGCATTAAAATGCAACTGTTGTATATTTACCTTTCTAAAGGTCCCTATATATTTAATAATTGTATTGAAGGGTTTGTTAAAGTTTTAACAGCATATACGTGCTTAGTTATGTACTTATTGTGCATTGGTTATAGAAATTGCTCATTGTTCAGATTCTTTGGTTGTTCACAAGTAGTTAGATCTTTTACAAAAAAAACTTAGTTCTTGCATCATTGGTAACTCATCTAACTGTTCAAATTGATACAGTTTTTAAGTTGGTTTCCTTTTTTTAATTCTCTGCATTCTGTCTGTTACTAAACTAAGGTCATAATTTCAATGGTATCATGTAATTCCAACAAAAGGTGGAGCTTTCTTCTAAAAGTTTTTCACTGGAGAAATAAACTAAGAAATAAACTATTCAAAGATCCATTATTACAGTCCAAAATTTTGCCCTTGGTACATATAGTCCATACTTTGACTTTTAACCTTTGGACACACACACACACACACACACACACACACACACTCTTTAAAAAGGGTACTTATCTGTTAAATTTTTTAATTGATTGATTTTTTAAACACAGGTTAAGAAATTCTTTTAATTTTTAACTAATTGCTTACTGACAGATATCTGTAGTATACAGCTTTTGGATGTTTCATTTTTCTTTATTTTTCTTTCTTTCTTACTTTCTGTTTTGTAGTGGTAAAACCAGTAGCGCCCTGATAACGTCCTAGATGTTATATTGGGAATTATAGTTTTATTTTCCAGTAATTAAAGGTATTGGCAATATAAAAAACCTGCCCAAATGTAGATCTAATAATTTTTCAAGTTGATTATGGACATATTACAAATTTTCATTGAACTGTGTAATTTTTGGTGAAAATCTGAATGATTTTAATGAAGTAGGGAGATTAATATCTGCATAAGATTTTAGATGCATTTTTATAGTTATTCTTTATTAAATATGTTTGTGAAAAATGAATCATTTTGCTAGTCATTGTATAGATATTTCAAACATGATGCATAATTTATATAAGCAAGGGAATAGTTATTTACAAACTTGTTTTTTGTATGGTCTTATAACTTATACATGTACAAATTCAGTTGGTCAATTTATTTAATGAATAGGATATATCACCACAGTATTTATGTTACTTGATTATATTTTAGCTGTGCCTCATGCATGTTTTACATTGCTTTGATAGTAAATAGCTAAATAGTGCTACAGTGTATTGCACGGAATTTGTGAAAATAAATGTTTAGGCAAAGAAAGATCCCGTTTAATGTGATATATTAGTGTTGTGTTGTGGTGAGTGTGTTAGTTGCGAAGAACCTTCTCTAGACCAGTCTCGATTACAGCATCCTGTCTTCCCGTCACACAGGTTTTAAGGCAATAAAAAGCAATCTTCAAAGTATTGATACAAACCGCTGGGAAAGGTTAAAGTCATCTTGATGATAGCAATTGTATTGAAGAACCAAATGGAGAATTTGGCGCAGGCGTCTTAATTTGGAAAAAAATTGCATTAATACAAAAATATGAACTTCAAACATCTGTTTCTCAAAACCTATCATCTCGGCATTATGCATTGATTTTTTAATTTATATCTACACGGTAGCAGTGTCGATAACGTTCATGTTTTGTCCCAATAGCTTTAGTGTGTGACGCTCCATCAATGCATCATAGTTACAAGAACGCGATATCTGAATCAAGCACTTTGTTTTGTTTTTTTTTTCTTTGACGAGACCCTTTTTCCAGCTATCTACACTGCAGTCTAGACACTGAATCAATTTTCATCAGGATCACATCTCAAGGTCACAAAAGATATTGAATAAGTTGTTTATTTATTCGTTATTAGAATAATTAAAGCTGATCCCCATAAATTTGAACTTATTTGGTTACTACATCTGTGACTCCCTTGTGAAGAGGCCGGAATTTCTGTAAACCTGAGTAAATGGTTCGAATTTCGAATTTAGGGAATATATTTACCTGTCAGAAATTCAGTTGTGCAGCATCTCCAATAGAAACCGTGATTCGGGACAGCATGTAAGTAGGCGGAGCATTGGCTTAAAATTGGCAGTCTACGCATCAAGGGCAATGACAATTTTATTTTACCATAACGCTTCACTGAGAAAAGTATTGATCTTTGAGCTTTAATAAAACCATGCTTGTTATGATTCAATGAAACATCCTTGCGTAACCGATTATTTGCCAAGTTTAAAAGTAATTAATCATTAGGGATTTGCATTTGATCAAACCTGCCTGTTTCTGACGTTTGCCTTGTCATTTGTAAGCATCGTGATGTGTATCGAGTGGAAGGATAGAGGAGACATTAAGAAGGTCTGAACTGCTCTTGTAAATTTTGACGCACCTAAAAAACGCAATGCCAGAACGAATTCTAAAATTTCATCCATAATCTCTTGTGAAAAACGGTTGTTCACTGGTCTTCTTGTGCACGTGCTTGCTAACACCTCGCAGTCAGTTCTATTATAATACACGTTTTGACCTATATTATTAATACGTCTTCCAAATAAAAGTCACTATTGTTAGTGATTTACAAAAGTATTTAAACAATAGTATGGGCGTATGGACGTGCCATAGAGAAATGAGATGGAGTTACTGCTACGTCCCCCCCCCCCTCTCTCTCTCTCTCATTTATGGGGAAAGAGTGGCACCCACATTGAAAACATTATGATTGATAGAGACATTTCTCCCTGGTATTTAAATTTCTTAATTCCTTCTAAGCAACAGCAGATTTAAATCCTTTAAACATATTCCTTTTTATAGTAAAACATTTATCCTTAATAGTAAAACATTCATTTTTAGTCTATGGTTTAAAATTATTTCTCTCGGTCACAATCTTCTTCCATTTCGTTTTTTTTAAACCTGAGATAGCAAAGGAAATTTCGTCTTATACATGTACCTATCTTATCATATACAATGGCTGAATAAACGGCTAAACATTATTAGTATTGTTGTTGTTGCAAGGGCACTGAAACAAAAACTATAAAAACTATGCACTTTCTTTTAATATGACTGTTGAAGTAAAGATTGATGTCAAATCCTGATGTTAAATGTAATTGTCAATTAGAAGGAGACTGAGGCAGTCAAGGTGAAGGCTATCATGTAAAAGATTACAGAAAGCTTTTATTTCCCACATTGTATATTTGGGCTGTCATTTTTTAGATGAAAGCTTCATCACTATGAAAAAGGCTGTGGCGTCATAACTTAAATCTGCTAGAAGCGATATTATGCAGAATTACTGCATGTACCTTTTCCATCGTGTCGCGGGTTATTCCACTTTGCAAGTTCACCTAAATGTTAAGATTGTAACGTCCTTGATTTGAGAACGACTTTCATTTATAACAACGGAAATTAAGGCGCACATATCAATTAGGCAATGACCCTTTTTTCGTAATTAATTAGTTCACATTTGCTTATTGTGCAAACTGCGTATTTCCCCCGAGAGATTCAACTACATAACGCCAGTTAGGTCCAGGAAATGAAAATATCTAATTACCAGCGAATTTCCTTCTTTTTTCGCAGACACCGACAGTATGTTAGCACCAATGCATCACAGTTCAAGCCAAGGAAGACGTTTGACATTTACTTAGCGCGCAGAGATAGTAACAATCACAAGATGAACGCATTCAATAATAATGCTAAATCCCGCAGGAAGGATCATCATTGCAAAATGGAAAAGATTGAATACGACATCAGACTTATCATTTGTTCATTTTATGTTTTTCGATTTCTCTGGTGTACAAGACGGGCTGGCACTACTTTATTGAAACGAAGACAAATAGCTGGCATGGGCGGTAAATATTTACCACGGAATGGTTGAACTGTAGTGTATTTTTTAGTAAATATCTAAACCGCTTATCACTTTCCCGATGTAAATACATGTATGGACAATTTCTGTGCACGTGTAATGTTATAGTTACGCTATAGTTACGCTAGATTTGAACAGGTGCATTTGTCTGTTGCACTTATGATCATTGGCCTTTCTTTCATCTTGGACTATCACCATACAACAACAACCAGACTGATGCAATGAAAAACAACAAATAATATCGGTACACACCCAAACCCTACCCTCTACCAGGGCGACTGATGGATTTTTTACGGATATTCACAGATATGTCTCTAGATAGATAGATAGATGGTCTATCTATCTAGAGACATATCTGTGAATATCCGTAAAAATCTATCAGTCGCCCTGATAGAGGGTACCCAAACCCAATATAGAGGTTCGAATGAGGTCACAGGCATACTCTTAAAATATTTAGTACACAAATCAATAACTATGTTTGATGATTTGCATGAAGAAGTTTGTATGAAAGTTTAAATCTTCTGGAACCATGAATAATAAAAAAAAAAAACAATTCATCGTCTAACCCCTTAAATGAACATACCTTACGTCCAGCTGTGGAAACATTTTACTCACTTTGAAAATTCAATCATGACGGGTCTCGTTCTTTAATTTATCTCCTACAAGTATAACGTTGTAAAAATTATGATAATCATTTGAACAGAGCAGTTAATTATTTTAGCAACTTAAGTTTGCTTGTCACTGAATATTTAAAAAAAGGGGGGGGGGGATACACCTTACTATCAGTAAAATAAGCATTAAATAAACTGTTTTCCATTCTTGGTCCAAATATTGTATCAGAAATGTCAAACTACCATGGAATCATAAAATATTTTTCGGTCAGCAATAGACATCCCTGTTTCCTATTGCACCGAGTACTTAGGCAAGATGAAACTTTCTGACAATTTTTCTGGGGAACATATGTTACGTAGTAGCCTTGAGTTACTGTTTTAATATTTATAAAAACTTCCTTACGTCATACATAAATTACCATGACTGAATCACTACAAAATATATCGGAACGCGATATAAAAATTAAAGTTCTATGACTGGGAACAAACATTACCGGAACATATTTTACTGTATAGGCTCCTTACATACACGTAATGTATAGTCATATGGTAAAAGTTAAAAGTTGGTGTAAAATTGAGAAAGCCGTGGGATTTTTGTTCTATACACATATATGTTTTAAATCATTGAATACAACTTCGAATTCATTCATTTTTTATATATATTTCAGCATGTGAAATGCACCTTTGGGTGTACAAGGGGCGTGCTCAAGGACATCTTGTCCCGCCGCTTTCCACTTAACTCCTTTAGGCGTTTATGACAGAATACATTTACTGTTGTATTGAGTTCTCAATGTAAATTTTGTGAACGGACGAACGAAGCAATCGCGTGGTTTTGAGTCTGAATGCAATGATTTAAACGTCTGTATTACCAATGCAATTCCATTAGGGTGGGTGCTATAAAACAGGCTGCTTCCATCACCTAGGCTAAAACAGTATCAGTTCGCAGTGATCTCACAATATCCCAGCTAACGCATTAAGCGGACCCAGGGTGGGAAGCTTACTGACATACTGAAGGTAAAAAGATGCTACTCAGCCTGTCTATTTGAGGGCCGGTTTCAGACACTATTTAGCCACTATTTGTCAACAACTGATCATGCATATTTGTACATTCATGGCTTTTTCCATGACGCCTGTATATTGTCTTACACTGCACTAAGGTTTACCGCATTTGAACTCCATTTCATGATGTATAAATCTATTCAGGAAGTTTAGGCCACAGGCCCATAGTACACATTACATGTGCAACGTATACAATGGTGGTTGTTCCCAAGATGCGTTAAAAAAATATATGATACACATAACCTAATTTTGCAAATAACTAAATATTAATTTTCTTATTTTAAATGCATGAAATACCTTATCAGTCGGGACGGAAATTAAATGCGCACAATCAGAAATCCTGAACTTCATGTCATTTGCATTTAGACATATTTTTCCGCATCCCACCCCCTCTCTTTTTATGGTTATCAATACAGTAAAATTTACTAAAACAGTTCACATTCTAGACAGAAAGGCGCAAAGACCACGTACATTTAACTTGCGGATCAAGGAGAGAGCGCAGTGGACACGTTACACCTCCTAAGGTTATTAGTAAAAACCAATCGAATATTCCACCTCTGTGTCCTTTCATGTTTGAGCACTTCTGTCCCGGTTCACTGTTTCAATATAACTAAATAAGTTTTATAGCCTGTCCCCTAGCCTCAGCAAAATCTTTGTTCCGCCAGTGTAATTTACTTGTATATCTTTTTGCGTGTTCATACCGGCACGAGATGTTATTTTTTACTTCATCATCGTAGCGTTTGCTGTTATTAAGTACACGCCTAGCGACGTAAT